TGAGGGATGGAGTGGGAGGGTTTACAGGTTTTTGCTTAAAGGCAGAACCTGGTCCTGTGCGTGACCGAAGCTGCTTCAATTACAAATATGATTAAGAGTGGTTGGCCATGGGGCCAAATGGTGCCCATCAACGACTGGAGATTGTGTGGAACGTCGCCATTCAGTGAACTTAGTAGCGGGAGACCTCTAGTAAGCTCTCTTCATCGAAGCGAGGGTGGGGACATTTTGGGTTACGTGTTACGGCAAAATAGCACGTCCCACGTGAAACTTGCGGACTCTTGTCAAGTGTAAAAGAAGCTCCTGCTAGCGCTTAACTTTACAGGGATTTACAGGTTCCTAAAGCGGGCATTGGCAGTGATCCGTGGCAATCAGCAAAGTGCGCCACCAAGCCGACCATGCTCCAATTTGAAGATAAAATGAATACCTCATGGCGCTTCTCGCACGGCGTTCGTATTATACGTGGTAGCGAGACAGGACCTAACATAAAACATCTGTTTAGGTTTGGCCTCCCACTCCCTCGCCGCCCAGCCCGGCTCCACTAACTCAAGGGACCCCGCGTGTCGTTGTGAAGATCAAGACGAACAGCAGTTGAAACTACTGCAGCGACAAACATCTTTTTTCACGCACGACACAGATCTCACCTAAATGCAAACAACGATTCAAAACAAGAACGTAAACCCTCGTCTGACGTCATCACGCAAAATGAACACACTACGAAAACAACACTTATCCCCATCTATTTTTAACATGATCGCTCCGTTCCAGGGGTAATTAACAGACTTATTTGTATTTGCGCAAAGGTACTTCCTATCCGCGAAAGAGACGCTATTTCCACCAAGATCCGGCGGAAACTTCATGTCATGTGTTATTAAGAGATCCCGACAGCTTCATCTGTTTGATGGTTTGGTTGTTTAATTTATCGCTTACAGGTCACAGATTGTCCCGCAATTTTCACAACGTGGGACTCACCATATTTTTTCGGTGAGATCATAAATCATCGAAAATAAATGGAGTCCGAAGGAACACATTCAACGATAAGCTGTACGCCCACACTTCGTGAATCTCGGTCCTTGCCGTGTGCGAAGTGAACGGGTACGCGGCTGCAGCAGCGTGCCACTTTTTTCGCTTAGAATGCACGGGAACGGGGATTTAGGGGAGTGATACCGGATGCCGTCACCAAACTCCAACCGCACCGTTCTCAATGTGAAGCATTTCTGTCGATACCGGCATCGGCCGCTACGCCTTCAGCGAGAACAAAACGAGAAAGTGAAAGTCGCAGACCAATTAGCTAGCGCTTGGCTATAGTCAGACGTGCGGCCGGCCGAGCGGCAAGCGGGTGGAATAAGTAGATCACTCGGGCACAACTACCCTCTAGCCTCGTCCTCGTGCACTTTTGGCCGGGGAAGTGGCCCGCTATTTGAGCAGCGGACCCATTCACCTCACTCACGGCAAGGACCAGGATCTGCGGAGGGGTGTACAGTTTCCCTTTAGTATGTTCTCCAATACGGTCCTCCAATACCAATTGGTTCTGCTTGTGTTCTGGCATATGAATCCAAGACAGCAGCACTCAAATAGAGGCTTTACTTCATTCGTCCATTCAAGTCAGCCAGAAATGAATAGAAAAAATAGGAGTATGTTGTCATTACCCATAAATGTTGTCATTACCCATGAACTGGTGCTACTCATGGACTTCAGGGGTTTACGATTTGAATTAAGTCAGCGATAAGCAGTGGTGAAGCTCATTAAGGGGGCCAGAGAGCCATCAGAGGGGTTATTCCCACATCACTTCGAGGTAACTGAGCTCACCCTGTGTACCGATCTTGTTGAATGCTTCACTAGCATGTCCGGATCAGAGCATGTCTTGCCACTGGGGAAACCTTTTGTAATACAAAAAACTACTCAATGTTCCCCCGCTGGTGCCCCCTCCCCCTTCCTCGTTACCCATCCTATCTACCATCTTTCTGAATTTATAAACTTCAACGGGCGTAAAGGTATTTAGCGCATTTTGAACAGGCAAACCCGGCCCGGTGAGTCGACGATCAGAACACTTCTACCAAAGGCTAATACGGCCCCTCCTTCCAGCAACTGAAAACGTCCCCCCCCCCTCCCGGCGCCCGCCTAGCTGGGGAACCTAACATACGATGTAACCTGGTCAGGATGGTCGGAACTGTTCCTTCAACTGCTGAGGCACTTGAAGGAACGTGAAGAAGCCGGACCACATAAAGTCTGAAAGCCCCGGACCATGCCAAAATCAAAAGATTACCAACCCTGGACGAGATTTTCAAACAGTCAACTCTCACCTTGCCCGTCCCTCGGTACATTTACGAGGGTCGTTCTAAGTTTTTTCGGTATTGAGGTAATTTAGCAGTGACAAAGGAATTTTAAATCACTTCAATAGGTAACGACACTCCCTGAGGGTAAATACAAAATTTCATTTAGTTATCATCAATGCTATTCTAGTTATCCTTGGGGAGACCAGAATGACTGATGCGACAATGTTGAGAAAATGATTACTGATGGAAAAAAATAGAGAAAAATGAAAAGGAAATTGAGAAAATGATTAGTGACTACTTCTTTTTCGCCCACCTACAGAAGATCATCGTGAAAAGATCGTGTTTCTCTGACGATGAAGAGCTGAAGGCGGCAATTAACGCACATTTTGGGGACAAGGAGGAAAAATATTTTAGAGGGTATTGAAAAGTTAGTTTCCCGAGCAAACAAGTGTATTGAGGTTATGGGGGACTACACTGAAAAATAAATTTTATTCAGAATTTTCTGCCTTTTCCTTCATACCTATACCGAGAATACATTGAACACCCCTCGTATATAGTTTGATTCGCTGCTGATGGTAGAACGTAACAGGGAGGCTGGGTTTGGGAAGTCCCCGAATTATAGCTGTTCTGAAATGTAGATGGCATTAACGGTGAATCATATGGGCGTTGGTTGGCTAAGAAAGATGAGAAACAGACTCGTTATTGAGAAATGAAAGTTTGAACAATGACCAGACTCAGTTATTCGAAAGTACATGCCCCTCGATTGAAGGGTCACAACGCATCATTTTTCAAGACATAATTACTCTCTGCACTCTTTTGCCATTTCCTACACATTCCACGCTTCTGAACACCTTTTCATTATTCCCTTGAGACCTCCCAGTAGGGTCAAGCGTACGTCTAAGAATACTCGACGGGAGATCTATTCGATCGCCGGGGTCAGGACGTGGGCT